GACAATGTTCGCCTATTGGAGATCCTAACATGAGGAGTTCTTCTTTTGTTTTTAATTAAATTTCGGGGAATATTTTAAGTTCGTATTTTTCAGTTTTCAAGATCAGGCCGTGAAATTGTTCAGAATTTAGAATACTTTTATGGTCCCGGAGTACTATCATATAGTCACCGGCTAATTTTCCATCATCTAAATACTAGATGTTATTTTTCGACTTCAACTGTTTGACTAGTGTCTGAATTGTTTCCGCAAAAAAGGGTGGGGCTTCAGGATCGCCTTGCTGAGTTTCGTCGTCTGACATTATGATAGAGCTTCTGTAAAAAAGGTAACTAGGTTTACCATACGCGCATTGGGTGTGTTTTTACAACTCGCGACGATTTGAAAAAAACATGATTCAGCATTCTTTCTCTATTTAGAGAGTTAAAGGCATTCTTAAAATCTAGTTTTAAGAGAACAGTTCATTTTGGATTGTCGCCGCGCTCAATTAAATTTCGAAACGAGTATGCAGCTATTTGCTATTTCTGCTCCTCATTTAAAACCGCATCCGACCTGTAGGTTTCGGAAAAAAGTTTTCGCTCGGAGAGGGCTTTGTTTCCAGCGCATTTAGACGCGATACGTCTCAGCGTGTTGCCTATGGCAATCGGTCTCAACCCTTCGTCTATATGAGGAGGATATGGAAGTGATTTGACCGACAGAATTTACGCCAAGAAAACACGTGGGTCATTTGGTACTCTCTTGAATACTCGGGCATTTGAGATAATTGTCTTCTACTAAATCATTACCTATTGACGCTTTAATAACAGATTTTACATCACCGCCTAAAGGCATTAAAACAATGTTTTTTTTAAGCGTCGCTAAGAGAGAAATTTATAACACTGATACGATACCAACTAGAACACCAATCACATCCAATCCAATTTATCCGTCCTGAAGATTTTAAGCAACATTCGATTGTACATTTTTTGTTTTTCCTCATCTTGACTCAGCGTAAAGGTAAAAAAAGGATTTTGACTGGACTTTAGGGGACTGAACTAACCCCATGATAAGCGGTTAGTGGGAACTTTATGAAGACAATTAAACTAATTTAAAAATTTAACATCAAACTACACAGATCAGAAACAAGGCACAATCTCGCTCGAGCTCAGTAGGTCCAGCGGTGCATCACCAGACTCTTCAAGCCAGTTCCAGTTTCCCCTAGAAAGTCTCTTGACAAATCTCAAAAATTCCTCAAAGGGCGCTCGACAAACAGGCACAAACATCAAACATAATAAATCTATTTATTAAAATTATCACAAAAATTAGGCTTAAAGTTGTGATAAAAGATAACAGATTCTCGTTTGGAAAGATAAAGCAAGTCGTGTCAGATTCGAACACAGGACTTTGTCAAGCCAAATATATATTCGTTACCTCCAGACTAAGTAAGCCGGAAACATAGAAATTAGAATTAATTAAAAACTGAACCTAAATTTACCATTTCTAATGTTGACCATTCTGTGCCTAGTTATCTACGGGGAAAAAGTCCAGTAACGATTGCAATACCCTTACCATCGCAATGGTAATCAAAGTGGTGCGTACCCACTGATCCGCAAACTCGGATAGCCGAAAAAAATGAAATCTCTCTGGGTTTTTTAAATTCAGATCAAACTGTTTTTCTACTAAATTGAGACTGAATTTGACTGGATAAAAAACGACTCAAATTCTACCCTGTTAGCTAACAAAAGTCCGAAAGTCGAACTACAAAATTAAACACAAAATTCCTCATTTTTCGTGCTCAAAAACATAGTCATTATAATCGATTATAATTACACTTTGAGACCACATCGCACTTGCGCAACCGATCCCACACATGTCCCTCCCTCCCATACATGTGGGAGAAGAAAGAAGAAAGGTGGGAAGAACCCAAATAGGATTTTACGGTTATATATTAATTTAAATGTGGGATCTCTTCAACTATTCCTTCCCTTCACGCCAGGGGTACCAAATAACGAATCCCCCCACCCCTCCACCCTCTTCAAAAAATCAACATTTAAGCCTATGAGAATTTTGTATCTAATAACGAACCTTCCCCCCTTTCTGCGAAAGGGGAAAATAAATAAAAAAATCCATTTCGAAAGCCTAATTGTTGTAATAAACTTATTAAATAGTTTCAGAGTAATGCCGAGCAGGAGTAATGCAGAGCAGCTATGCAGCTTCAACCGCGAAGAGCAGTGACGACTGTCCCCAATGCGGAAAAACAACCGACAATTTAACCTCGTGTATTGATGGATGTCAGATTTGGAGTCACGCGAGCTGTGTACAGCTTAGTGACAATGATGTGGAAACAAATTCAAAAATTGATGCTTGGAAATGGTTTTGTTCTGCCTGTTTGACAAAGTTTGATACTACAAAACTTGATAAAACAGTAATCACAGAAGTCGAGATGGTCAAGTCGACTGTAGAAAGACATCAAGAAGACTTTCAGACGTTGGCGGAGAACTTTAAGCAGTTGCATACTGATTTCAAGTCAAAACAGGCAAACGCGGTAGAGGAACCACTTAAAATACAACTGCGTATCAAGGGGATAGCTGAATCAACAGCAACGGAAAACCATGCACGCGAAAAGACATGGAGTTCAAAGTGCAGCCAGTGAACTTTTCACGGACTGGAAAATACACTGACGGCCGTGTGCGTCCGGTTATTGTGGAACTTCAAACACCACTTCAAGCAAAATCAGTTATTTCAAAAGCTATACAGATCAAATTGTTTCAATCGAAACAAATATTCATCAGTTTAGCACTGACTGATGATGAAAGAAAACTAGAGAAGCAGGTGTTAAAACGAAGGTATGAATTGATTCAAAGTGGAATAAATCGAACAACATTACGCATCAAATAGATTCAACTTTACCAGAATGGGATTCTGGTTCCCTTAACCAATTGACAACTATCAATGTTCTTAAAGATGACTGTACGTGCATTAGAAAAAAGAATGTACGTGCAATATGTTTTAGGTACCTGGCTACTGATCTAGCCATGTACAGTATAGATATTTGTTGCATCACCGATACATGGCTTACAAATGTCTATAATGATATGTACATTCATATACCAGGTTACCAAGTCATTCGTTGTGACAGAAGTATTCAGAATTCAGCGAAACAAACTGGTGGAGACGTCTGTGATTACTACAGAAATCATTTTGAGGTTCCAAGAATTACGCCAACTGGAAGTCTGAATCATGAGTTACTTTGATTGCTTATTCAGTTTAGAAATCAGCGTTTTACTATCGGCGTCATTTGTTGATCATGTTTTGGATACTGCTGAAGTCGAACTCAGAAATGGTTCTTCAGCTGTTCTGCTTTTCATCTGCGAGTTCATTGACCTGGACTCTTCTTCACTGTCTCCATTGTTTGTTTGTTTGTTTGTGGCACAATTCACAGAATCAACTACAAAAAATTCAAACCTCGATAAAACACTTTTTTCCAACAAGAAAAAGTTTTCCCAGAAGATATCGGTCATCACATCAACTGCTCCCAGTTAGCACAAAGCCGTTATTTGCGAGCCCAGTTTAATTGTTGCACCAGTTAAACGTAAGGTTTTGTTTAGATTACAAAACGGAAAATACCGCGCAAGACTTGGGCTTGCGATGGACGCCTTTGATTTTAGCTATTTACTAGAATATGTCGATGCGGATACTGCAATGAAAACCTTCAGAGGAGTTACAAACAACTTCATTAACATTTAGTGCCCAAAACGATCTCTCACTATGAAAGATAAGATCCAACCCACATGACGGCTTCCATCAAGTTCTTAATTCGAAAAAAGCAACGAGAGATATACCAGCGCTGTCCGAGAAAATATGAAATGAAATTGACCAAAGTTTGAAGAAGGGCAGGGGTAAAAAAAAATACAAAATACTGGTGGAAAACCGTTAATGAACGACGCCATGAACCCAGGTTAATAGACGAGTCGAAGGAGTGGAATTCTGACAGTCTGAACGAGTATTTCGCTGGTATATCAACAACTGACAGCTACGTAGAACCATCACATTGTGATATTTCGAACTACGAAGCTCCTGTTATTCAAAAGCGAGAGATAATTATGTCACTCAAAAAATTGAAGAAAACTGCTGTTGAATTTGACGAAATCCCAGTCTGGTTGCTGAAAGAAAAAGCACACATCGTTACGTTTGCTCTTTCACACATATACAGTTTGTCGCTAAAGGTAGGACGGTTTCCTACTTCCCTGAAAACGGCTAAAATCAATTCTCTGCCGAAAGTATCTAAGCCCAAGTCGCTATCCGATTTTCGACCAGTTGCAGTAACACCAGTGATAGCTCGTCACTTTGAGCGCATTGTTTATACAAAGTTTCTGAATTCAAAGTTTCTGCATTGCTTATACAAAGTTTCTGGTAGAGACGCAATCAGTTTGGATTCCGAAACGGGGGATCCACTACAAACGCCATTCTCAAGAGAATGGATCGTATCAAGTATTTCAGTACTCAAGGTTTCGATTGTGTACGAGTATTTTCCCTAGATCTTTCCAAAGTGTTCGACAGAGTACAACATTATCACATTATTTAGAACCACTAAGTCGATAAATAAGAGGCCACTTAGTCGATATTAATTAGGCCAAAATTTATAAAGTCGATAAAAAAGACAAAAAATACCGTAATTTCTTGAACCGGAACAATTACCGTTCGAATAAAAACACAGGACCTTTGCCATCCCAGGCGTTTTCGTTACCACCAGCCTAAGCGTGCAAAAAAGTTTTAAAAAAATTTTGTGAACCAAGGTACCAAAATTTTTTATGAACCAAGGTACCAACAGTTCAATGAGTCTTATGAGTCCAGTGGACAAAGTTGTTTACGGGAAAAAAGTCTAGTACCCAATTGCAATGCCTTTGCTATCGCTTTCTAATGATATCTTTGCTAATAAAAGATTTGAATGCTGCAATTTCCTTTTGTCATCGTGGTACTGAAGCTCCTCAAAGTTACGTATCTGTGGGCTGGATTTGAATACTAAATAGAACTGATTTTTATATTTCATACTACTAGTTGTATTTGTCATCATAAAATTAGTCGGCAGAGTTTTTCAGTTTTCTGCAAGGTTGTGGGGTCGGGCAATCTGTGTTTTTGCACACACTGAAAACGTGGTCCAGCATTTGGGCGTTACTGATTTTGTGAAAACTTTCCAAATGACTTGATAAATCCTCGATTATTGATGAATCACAAAGCTTGCAAAATTGAAAGTCGGGAGACTCGAATTGATTTGCAGAAGTGCTCGGAAGGTCGGGGCTAGTCGTTGATGTGTGAACTAGTTTCGGTGACAGACTCTTTGATCTCTGTTCGGCTGATTCGTTTTCTTCCGAAGAGGACGAAGTTGTCAGATGCTTCCGAACAAGTTTTCGAACAGGACAGTAAAATTTCTCGTGTCCCCGTAAATTTTTCTCCTCGTTGAATTTGATGTTGCAACTATGACATTGGAATTTGGCGAACGGTTTCAGGTCTGGGTCTGAATCAGAGTTCGGCGATCTTCGTTTACGAAGAGGCAACGCCATGTTGCCGAGAGGCGAAGTCAGCTTCTGGGCTCGTCTGTTATCTAAGAGTAAATTTTGCAACGCGTTCATTGATGCAAAAGTCGGTTCTTCACTGCCAAAACTGTGCAATTCCTGTTCGGATTTTAGTAAACCATTCGCACTTGCTGAAGATGATGATGTAATGATAGCCGAATCGAAACTCTTCGGGCTACTTCTTCTTTTTTCTGCTGAGCAGTATATCTGTTGGTGGGTCTTCAAAGTACCGAGTTCTCTAAACATTACCCCGCAAGCTTCGCATTTGAACTTTTTACTCAAATTGTTCACTTCTCGGTTTTGAGACGACTCGGGTTTGTTATCGGATGTCGAGAGTGTTCGGTTTTCAGCTGAGGAAGGCGGGCTGAGCTTGATTGGTCTTACTCGACAATATGACCTCAAATGACCCTCAAGAGTGTCTTTGCTGTTGAACGCGGCCGCGCAATTAGAACAGTGGAATTTTTTCCCAGCCGCAGCTTTTCCTAAAAATCATTTCATCCGATGATTTATTAGCAATTGTCTAATTTTTATTTGAATCTGCGGTAAATGATGAAAGACGCATAATGCTTCATTTAGCCTTACAGAAACATTCACAGCGGGAAAATTGTTTCATAAAAACGTTTTTTTTATTCATATTTTTGCTTTTGATTTCGTAAGTATATTTGCTGAAAAGGTCATTATATGATCGTTTTTGCGTTTTTGGGGTGTTGATACCCTTATTTTAAACATGACTTTCAGCAATATTCAGCAATTTATTTTTTTTCTAAAAGCTATCCGAATTTCAAAAAAAAACAGAGCGCACAAAAGTTTTACAAACAATAAAAACAGAAAAGACAAGCGCATTAACAAACATTCTTACCTTGTGCTGCAACGGCCGACGCGAGTAGAAGTCGCTGCACTAAAACATTGTATGCTATAGACGAAGACGCTGCAACGTCGGCCAGACTGGGAAGAAGATTTTCAGGCAGCTCTAAGCCAGAATTTGACCCGTTTGGAGTCGTTATTTGGCCTGCATCACATGTGATTGTTGTCGTTGATGTTACTTTTGCTGTCGTTGTGGACGCCGAAGACGACGATGATCGGATTGATAAGTCGACTGGTGAAGTGTTCTCGGCATTTGAGGAAGATCCTTCGCCTGTTTCGGAACAGTGGGAACATCGGCCATTTGAGACCTCACTTTCAGTTATCAGTTCAGAGGCACACGATGGGCAAAAAGTGGTCTCTAATTCGTCCATTTCTGAAGAACAAAAAACACTTTTTGAATTTTGTTCAAACATTCCAGCCAGGCAAGCACTCACTTAAAAACTAAATTACTAAGACAGTTTTATGCACAATGGAAAGAAGTAACATGCACAGGGGCGGATCTAGGATTTTGTCGAGCTCTCCCAAACCAAAGCACTAAAAAGACCCTGTTTTGGTGTTTTTTTTTGTTCACGCAAATAAACGTGTTCTGGGATCGAGTGGTATATCAAATTCAAACCCTTTTAACTAGCAGCTGTACGTCTATTGAAAACTTTATAAATTTTTCTGCTAGTGTTGATAAAATTGGTGAATTAGACTGAAAAAATGATCAACTATGCCTGAAAAATTATTCAAAAAAAGCGAAATTCACTCAATACAAATTTGATTTTTTTAATCGTTCGCCATGTCGACAAGACTACTCGTATCAGGGCGAAGCCCTGAATGTTCCGACTGCTTTTGAAGGTTTATGGAGCAGCAGTAATAACATAAAAACATTATATGAAATAAAATAAAATGAAATTTTTTTTTTCTAAAATTTGAATTTTTTAAATAAAATCATCCCCCCACACGCCATATAAAGTACAAAAAGATAGTTTTCGTTCCTTGTAACACATCAATTATGGCAAATAAGCTTCGTTCAACCAATTTGGAATGATTTATAAGACGGATTAAATCTCCGCTTACGCGTTAATAGCGCGAATTATATCGCGCGTTAATTGTCCCAAATTGGTCAAAATGGCCAAAATGGCAATCTTTAAACCCTCATAACTTTACGAAAAATGATCACAGGTGATATTTTTTCAAATTTAAGCTCAAGACAACAATACCTTTTGAATGATATAAAAAAATTCCGTCAAAAATGGCTAGTTAAAAATTCGAAATTTGTCTGAAGAAAAAAAAACCCACCCCGAGCACAAATATTCCGTTACTTTCGTGTCGAAAGTCGGAACAACAATTGGTACTTATTTCAACTGGGCTGGTTATATGAGTGCGACGCACAGAATTATAGGCCCTTTAATATTTATAGAGAAGTATTTTGAAAAAACAAGTGACAAATGACGAAACTTCCAAGAAAACTTAACAAAAAATTTTTAAAAAAGTGAATATCGTACCACACACGCTATTCAAAGTAGAAAAAAAAATACATTTTTTATATGCTAATATAGTAAGCAGAATAACTAGCAAGCATGAATTCAAGATGGAACGATTACTGAGCCGGATCAAATCGCAGCTTCCGCATTAAGAGCACAAAGTATATCGCCCATTAACTATTCCAAAAACCAAAATCGTTTTTTTAAAACCCTCTTAACTGGGACAAAAATTACCACAATGATAAACGATTTTCAATTTTCGAGCTTAGGACACAAAACTTTTCAGATGGAAAAAAATCCCACCAAAAAAAAGATGATTTTTCAAAAAAGTCGAAAATTACCTGCAGATTGAAAACTACGCGAACACAAATGTTTCGTTACTTTCTGCAAAGTCAGAACAAAAGAACTGCTGGTATATGTATTTTGCCCTGAATGTTTATGGTGTATTGTTTGATGTGAAAAATTGGCGAACTTTTCAATAAAAGTTGAAACAATTCACAGAAAAGCTTGAATTTTCTTGAAAAGGATCCACCACTCTAATGAAATGGTTCGACTTACCGGAAGTGATAAAATCCTTCTGAGTTGTCGACAAATCTAGAACTGCCGTTTCCATCATTCTTAACCACAGAATCGTCAGAATGGTTAAACAAATTTAAATCAAAATAGAGAACTTTTTTTTAACTTTCTTTTTTAATTTCCAATTTTTCCCGTACTGAACAATTTCCTTCGTAATTTCATATGATAAAAAAATTTTTGATAAAAAAGAAGATTTTTTTGTGAGAATTTGTCGATAATGTGAAACTGTGTAAATCAGTGAGTAACGCACAGCACAGGTAACATTTAATAGAAGAAAAAGCAGTAAATAATCTTCAAAGAGTGATTTAGTGTGAAATTATCAGTCTCAATCAAAAGGTAGAAATCTTGTGATAATTAATCTTGAAGAATTTCTTCAAGAAGTAGAAAAACTGTAGAATGAAAGTATTTTCTTATTACAGTAGTCGTCGCGTTATGTCGATAGTGTCTTTATTTTGTGTCTTTACTTAAATGCGTGTGGGGGGCTGTATATATTGAAATGTAAATTAGATAAGGGTTGAAATAAGATAAGGGAATTTTATTGTGAAAGAGCCCGAGAATAGATAAGGAAATAAGTAGCAGAGAACTAGAGCAGTTGTGTTCTTACAGTTGAGGGTTCTTTCACTTGCTTGTTCGTTGTCCAATGTCCAATCCTCCCCTATCTTCTCTTGTAGCTCAGCACAAAGTAGATATGATTGAATCCCCCCTTTGATAATATGACAAACCATCGACAGATAAGACCACATATACGACTAATATCAATTCACCGACCGGCACCGAGATCCATTCATTAAGATAACATGCCTCACATTCAAAACTCTCACCAACCCCCCCCCCCCCCCCCGTGTTATCTATGCGCAATCTTTCCCTGGTTGCCACGATCGAGGCTGTTATCTTTATCAGATTTTTGCTATCTTCTGTGAAACAATTTTGTTTCACTGACTAACAATAATTTCGCAAATGTTTCATAAATCATTTGTATTTTACTGCTGAAATGTCGAAATTGATTTTGTCTCGTAAAAAAGCTTTGACAATACAAATTAGTCATTTTTCATATTACGAAAAAGATAATTTTTAAAATTCGATCTTTTAAGGTTCATAGGTCTTAAAATATTTTTGGAATTGCCGCGAAATAAATTAAGTTACTTAAATTAAATATGAAGGCTGCTAGGCTTGTCGATGATCATTGGGTTTACGGATATGATAAATAACCTTTTGTGACGTTGAAAATTATCCGCTTTTGTCATCCGAATCACATTTCAAGAGTATCTTAAATTTATGCTCACATCAGAGAGAGATAAGAGTGGGGATATTTGGGCTTTGGGTCGATACGGGCAAAACACATATGACACAAGAAAGAAATATACCCTGATTAAGAACCTTAGATTGTAATTTGTCAATTACCCATTCTGCTAGCCCTTTATTTGCTTTATTTGTATTGTAGGTTCGTCACCCTTCTTTGCACCCTGTAGCCTGCCAAACCGAATTTGAAATGAACACAAAATCGAAGTAGCCACTTTCGGCTAGAATTGTACGTGGTATCTTTCGGCTAGGTGGCCGCTGGGTTCTTATCTCAATCAGAGCGGTTGCATTCGACTCTTATCAATCCCCGCTCTCAGAGCCTAATCTCAAATTCAATTCATTTGTAATCTTTATCTCCCCTCTTTCTGGCCCTGACAAGCAAATTGTCCCATAATGCATAAAAGTTTGCTCAACCGTCAATTTAGATTTGTTTTTATATACTTCATGCCCTCCAAATTTTGCCTCTAATTTCAATGTGAACATTCAACCCCCCCTCCCCCCCCCCCTCCCCTGATGTATTAGTACACTGATCTAAGAAGCGTCCTTAACTGTCTACTAGACTACTAGATTCGAGCGACTATCAGGAAGATGAAGAGAGGAGATAGGGGCGATCAGTTTTAATCGTCACCCCCCTCCCCCCCCCCCCCCCCCCCCCAACAACCACCACCCTCTCCCAAAACTAATGCTCTAGACGGTAACTTGGGCTATTTATTATTACATCCACTGACCGAGTGGTCATGATTTTTGAATCTTTTTGTCTTAAATTTCTAGAAAGCTCTCGACAATGGGTTTCGAGAAATTGTAACTGCAAAGTTCTAGTGATTCCGTATTTTTCGATGAGATCGAAAAATCGAAATAGCTGGGATGAAAAAAAAATCCAAATGGTTTCCACAAAAAGGCCTCTCCCACCACCAGAAAATTATGTGCGGAACATTGTTTGTTATTTCAGATTTAATCTCACCTTCCGAAAACGACTGTAAACTTTAATACACTCCGCAAAAAGTGGAAACTATCTGTTCTAGATCATTTCAAGTCTACTCAGCAAAATTGGGAACCTGAAATGAAAACTTTAATAAAGTGCATAAACTTTGGAGAAAAAAAACTAGAAATTGTAACATTATCAAGCAGGTCATTCCCAGTAGAATTCCGAAAAAATAATGAAAATTTTAAAACCTTATTTCTTAGCCCTATTTTTCATATAGTGGGCAATACTGCATAACAGTTTTGAGCTTGACAGCTAGTTTGATCTGCGTTTCCATATTTCCTTTGTTTTATTAGAGGCCTTTTATAGGCTACTCTTTGGTCACGAAATTTTTCAAATCCCAGAAAAATTCTATTGCGATTGCGATTTACTGTACAATTCTTACAACAAGTTTTTAACTGAAATATCACTGTATGAATGTTCAGCAAAAATTTCCAAACCCAAACTTTCCAAACTTTAAAGCGTAAGCTAACTTTTTGAGCTCTAAAAGAGCAGTGTGCGAAAAATTTTGAGCCCATTTTCCATTTCAAACACATAATCTGAAGCCAAACAGAAACGATACCAGCCAGTTGGTTTCTCGCAAAAACCAGTTGATTTTTTCTGATTGATTTATCAACTCTTTTGAATAAAACTTTTTAATAGGCCTTATACTGCAGTAAATAGGCCACTCTGATCTTGTTCTTCCAATTTTTGACAAAAACGGAATATTTAGGCTCGGTGTAATTTTTTCTACTCAATCAGTTTTGGCGATCGAAAAAACAGTTTTCAACAATTTTTTTTTATAGCGCATTGATGATATCGACTTCAAACTTAAGATTAGTTTTATCTCCGATTATTTTTTCTAAAGTTTTGGGTGTTAGAAGTTGCCAAATTTGCAATGTTCTGAACTAAATAATATTTTAAAGAGTTTATTCACAAAACTGAGAGCGTAACGCGAACTATTTATTGTGGCGAAATATCCCGCACAACAAAATCGTTCCAAATTAAATTGAGGTTAGCTTGTCGATCGTATTAGTTTTGTACGACTGAAAATTTCAAACTTTGATATTGTCCAAACCTTTTAGGGTTTTAGATTTTTCTTTTCCCAAAACGGTTAGATATGAATTAAGGGACAGTGGCAACATTCAGGGCTTTGCACTGATATACGAGCAGTCTTGTTTTATCCAATTCGAGTTTCAGAGTTTTGGAAATTTTGTTTTTAAAAAATAATAAATGAGTGGCCTAGACAAACAACAAAAGTACTAGTATCAAGGCAAAAGGCTGCCATTTACCGTTTCTCAAGCTACCATGGCTTAACAAAATCGACCACTTCAACTTCGACCACATGAAATCAATTTTTGTTGAAACCTTTCCCCTGTGCCTAATTCATAGTTAAAAAAGACATAATAAGCGTGAACTTACCAACCCGCTGTGCGGGTCACTCCATTAAGCTCCAGTTCGATTGGAAATAATTTTGGAGCCGTATTTTTTGCGGCTTTTGTAGCACTTTAAAAGAAAACTAAAAAAGTTGCGCTCATTAACTTATACCATATTGCCGAAACTTGTAAGTTATAAACTACACTAATCTTCCAAGTTTAACCCAGCTGAAATGTTTTTTTTTCTGAATTTGTGCTCAGCATATCGTATTATTTAAATGAAAACAATTTTTGTCATAAGTGGTTTATCGAAAGTCCGGTCTGCAAAAACAAAACCAACGGATAAAATTTCCGTAATTTTCTCCAAAAGTCGAAGCAAGAAGTGGTTTGCCCAAAAGAAATGTTTTCTCGTGGAACAAATTTGATTTTGCTGACTTACGACAAGAGATTTACGCCGAGGAATCCCAGATCAAAACGTTTCCTGGACATCAATATTGGCCAAAAACTGACGCTTCTAAAGCAATAAATTCTCTCCAATAAAACTAAATTGAGTTAATTTTTTTTATAATTTAGGACTTTTTACCCCTCAATCAAATTTTTCAACCACTGTTTTTCTTGCTCACGTCTCTTAACAAGAAGCCTCTTCTTCCTTCAAGCGAAATTATGCGATTGATTTCTTTTTTTATAGTCAGGTCCCGCAAAGGATAAAATCTGCACAAAATTTGCTAAACGGGGATACTTCGCAAAAATTTGTATATTAAAAAATGTCATTTACATGCGAGCAGCAAATAATAATCAGCCAGTAGGCGAAAAAGACGAAGGAGTAATTGAAGACAAAAAAATTTTTCCCGTGGAATATGCAGATCGTACATCCGCGAGTGGATGGGAAGAGTTACAGCGCGATAGTTTCACTGTAATAGCAATCGCAGAAGCATTCAAGATAAAAAAACCTGTGAGTATTCAAGAAGAAGATTTAAACGCCCATATAATAAAAATGAAAATCAAAACAGAAATCATATTTGCGATTGCTGATTCGGGAACCCCGATGTCATTTCTAAATGAGAAAGCTGCACTAAGATCAAAACCGAACGAAAACTCCGCAATATTCAAATACAATGCGCCGGAGGATGCTGCAAGAAATTTAGCTTGCTACAACGATACAAAATCACGAAAGGAAGATTTGTCATGGCAGTAAAATCGAACTAGTCACTTTCGGCTAGAAGTGTACGAGGTATCTTTCGGCTAGGTGGCCGCTGGGTTCTTATCTCAATCAGAGCGGTTGCATTTGACTCTTATCAATCCCCGCTCTCAGAGCCTAATCTCAAATTCAATTCATTTGTAATCTTTATCTCCCCTCTTTCTGGCCCTGACAAGCAAACTGTCCCATAATGCATAAAAATTTGCTCAACCGTCATTTTAGATTTGTTTTTATATACTTCTTGCCGTCCAAATTTTGCCTCTAATTTCAAAGTTAAAACTCAACCACCCCACCCCCCTCCCCCCTGATGTATTAGTACACTGATCGAAGAAGCGTCCTTAACTGTCTACTTGATGCGAGCAACTATCAGGAAGATGGGGAGAGGAGATAGGGGCGATCAATTTTGCCTCAATTTTTTATCGTCACACCCCCCCCCAACGATCACCCCTCCCACCCCCACCAAACTCTCTCCCTCTCAAAATTGATGCTCTAGACGGTAATTTGGGCTATATGTTATTACACCCATTGACCGAGTGGTCATGATTTTTGAATCTTTTTGTCTTAATTTTCTAGGATGCTCTCGACAATGGGTTTCGAGAAATTGTAACAGCAAAGTTCTAGTGATTCCGTATTTTTCGATGAGATCGAAAAATCGAAATAGCTGGGACGAAAAAAAATCCAAATGGTTTCCACAAAAGGCCTCTCCTACCACCAGAAAGTTATGTGCAGAACATTGTTAGTTATTTCAGATTTAATCTCAACTTCCGAACACGACTGTAGACTTCAATACATTCCGCAAAAAGTGAAAACTATCTGTTCTAGATCATTTCAAGCCTACTCAGCAAAATTGAGAACCTGAAATGAAAACTTTTAAAAAGTGCGTAAACTTTGAAGAAAAAAAATAAATTGTTTTGATTATGAAGCAGGTCAT